GGGTGACAAGGTGGGTCAGGGTGACAAGGTGGGTCATGGTGACAAGGTGGGTTATGGTGACAAGGTGGGTCATGGTGATAAGGTGGGTCAGGGTGATCCATATTAGGGCGAAAAGTTAATAGCTTTTATGGTCTAAATTTTCACTTATTTCTTTGAGTGTAAAATTACTCTACGAGCTTGAATAATCAAGAGAAGAAATGAATACTAATAATAGTGTTGACAATAATATTAATATAATAATAATACTAATAATAAGAGTGATATTAATACTAATAATAAATAGTTGATATAAAGAATTATTGTATGAAAAATCATATAAGTAATATAAATTATACAAATAGGGATATTAATAATGAAGTAGTATTTAAATTTTGTCCCGATTTTAATGATATCGGGACAATATAAGATAATAATTATAATACCGGTATATATAATTTAATGTACATTATTCAATGATTCTATATATTTTATAATATAATTTTATGTATAATATAATATAGATTATTTAATAATTAATATATATTTTGTACAGCGTCCCGGACACATGAAGCCCCCCGCGGGGGGGGAGGAGCGCCCCCACCACTTCACCCCCATCGCGGGGCTGCCTGTGGACGACCTGAGTCAGGGCCCCAGACGTGAGTCAGGGCCCCAGACGTGAGTCAGGGCCCCAGACGTGAGTCAGGACTGAGTCAGGGCCCCAGACGTGAGTCAAGATAACAGGCGCTCAGTGTCGTCTGATAACAGCAAGTGAGGGACAACAGACGCTCAGTGTCGTCTGATAACAGCAGGTGAGAGATAACAGGAAGATAACAGCTTCTCTCACTCCCTGATCCCCAACTGCAGTAAATGGCTGAGCTCACATATTAAGCTCTAACTGAGGATAGGGTTACGTGACTGAGGTCGTGAAGGATAAGTAAGACTCGTGTATCTAGATAACATCTCTTGTATACGGGGTGGTTATACATGAGTTACGATACAGAGGAATAAGCTACAGCGTCGACCGTAAGGTCCGAGAACTCAACCGACGCGTTACATAGCCGAGCACTTATCAACTACTGCGGGGGCTCATACTAAGGTTACTAGCCCTTATATAGCCTTTGCTTCCGCCCACAACTAAGGTCTTGATCGCGTGATCTATCCCGTGTCTACCAGATGTTCACTCGTCCTCAATCTCTATCAGGTCAAGTGAATATTACGTCCTAATTACATATAATTATTATGATTATAATGAGACGCCAGACTGACACCGGACACTAGCCCTTATATAGCCTTCGCTTCCGCCCGCTACTAAGGTCTTAATCGCGTGATCTATCACGTGATGTCTTCCAGATGCTGTTGACTCATGTCTTGTACTTTTCCGTCAATTTCTATCAGGTCAAGTGAATATTACGTCAATTACATATAATTATAATGAGACGCCAGACTGACATCGGACACTAGCCCTTATATAGCCTTCGCTTCCGCCCACTACCAATGCCTTGATCACGTGATCTGTCACGTGATGTCTTCCAGATGCTGACTTATGACCTCAATCTCTATCAGGTCAAGTGAATATTACGTCCTTATTACATATAATTATAATGATTATAATGAGACGCCAGATTGACACCGGACACTAGTTTTTATATAGCCTTCGCTTCCGCCCACTACTAAGGTCTTGATCACGTGATGTCTTCCAGATGCTGGCTCATGTCATCAATCTCTATCAGATAAAGTGAATATTACTTCTCAATTACATATAATTATAGTAAGACGCCAGATTGACACTGGACATATACGCTTCCCCTATCTGACCGTCCCCTACGATGTCCGCAGCAGCAGTACAGCAGAGGATGAGGCTGGCTGCGAGGTCCACGGGCTGAACCAACAAGCCACGTGGATGTTCGAGATGTTGTATGGGGCGCGCAGTGGGGATCCTACATCCCGTAGTGGGGATCCTACATCCCGGCGGGAGTCCCTCACCAACATCGAGGGCATCGCCAGCAGGATATTTAGTCTGCAGGATAAGGAGCCTGGCGATAACAATGTCAAGAAGGAACCCATTGAGATCCGCGCCGCTGCTTCTGTTCGGGTAACTTGATGATTCAGAACTTAACTAACTTGGTGATTTATTACTTAACTAACTTGATGATTTATAATTTAACTAATTTTATGATTGAGAACTTGACTAAGTTACTAACTAACTTGATGATTTATAACTTAACTAACTTACTAACTAACTTGATGATTTAGAAGCAGACATTGATGCTAGAATAAAAGAACGCAATTTTTATAAACCAATAGTTTATCGAGTAAATTATTGGTTTAAAACTTGTATTAAAGATGTATAAATCCCCATTGTGAGTTGTGATGAACCCGATGTTATAATTAAAAAAACATCAATGATAATATAAAAAATAACAACAGTTTCCTAAGTAAATTACTGAATGAACACTCTTATAGAAATGTAAAATTCACCAATTTAATTTCTAATGAAAATTATGTTATAAATAAATAATTAGAACATCATCGATTACAGAATAGGAGAAGAAACAGCAATTTGACACCAATTGAAAAAACTTTGATCATAATCCCCATGTCATAAATGTTGCTATTACATCGCAGTAACTCTAGTAAAATGTGAAAATCATTCTTATTTTTTAATAATCCCCATGTCATAAATTTTGCTGTCACATCGCAATAACTATAGTGAAATGTAAAAATCATTGTTAGCGCATTTTCTCATTTATGTAAAAAAAGGCGCTATTGTCCGTCCGTTTGTCCGTGATTTCGCGTTTTCGTCGACGAGAAAATGCGCGCTCTGTCACTCACTGCAGTGAGTACTGAGTTATATAATTTTTTTAATTTTCACAGGAGTTAACGGAGAAGATGCAGAAAGGCATCACATTAACGGTCGCTGAGCAAGAAAAGCTCGCTCGTCTTGGTGACATTACCGGCAAGATCGCTAAAGCCAAAGAGGATCTTGAAAAAACCCAAAACAAAACCAATTCCAACGAACCACAAATACCAGAACTTCCTAAGAAATCTGAGAACGACGTGCACTGGGAGAACCTTGTAAAGCACCTCAACAGAACCCTAGAACTCGGAGATTTAGATTTCACGGATCTCACGGAAGCGGACGATTTAGACGTGTCCGCAGTGTCGTGTTCCGGGGCCAGCGCCCCCCCACCTCCACCACCCCCACCAGGGGCTCCACCCCCTCCCCCGATGGTCAATGGACATGGTATTCCACCTCCACCACCTCCAGGAATACCACCTCCACCTGGTGTTCCACCTCCAGCACCTTACGGTGAGAATATCCTATTAAGATGGTATAACTAGAGTCAGTTATATTATTAAAATACTACAGTACTATACTAAAGTGCTTTGCTACTATCCTAAAATATACTATACTATTATACGAAAATGCTATACTACTATACTGAAATGCTATAATATTATACTAAATTGCTATACTACTATACTGAAATGCTATACTACTATACTAAATTGCTATACTACTATACTGAAATGCTATAATATTATACTAAAATGCTTTACTACTATACTGAAATATTTTACTACTATGCCAATATACTAAACTATTATACTAAAATGTTATACTACTATACTAAAATACTATACTATTATATTAAAATACTATACTACCTACTATACTAAAATAAATGTAAAATTTATAGTGGGAAACTGAACATTTGATTAGGACCTAGAAATGAAAATATCAAGATTATTATAATCGAGCCTAATGTGTACTTTTATATTTTATCCATCGCAATGACAATATCTAACACACGGACATTAATTGTACAGTCAATGTTTATATCCTAATTATTATTCATATCCTAAAATCATGTAATTAGTCATGTAAATGTTTCAAGAAATCTTAAGTCCAATAAATGCTCCTCGTATAAATGTAACCTGACGCTGAATTGTATCCTCTGATAATTATATATATATATAATCAATGCTAAGGCGCAACACAAATTTCATATCCTCGAAAAATCACAAAATTAACCATGGAAAATAAAAATAAAATAGAAAAGAACTTTGTGTTACTAGTATACATAATATATTTACGTATTAACGTAGTTATTATTTAATTATTGTAATATATTATTTTAT